CTCTTCGTTAGGTGGAGCCCGTCTCTGCCTAGCACTCCTCCTTCTTGGAACACCATCCCATGGTCGAAGAATCCAAAGCCTTCTCTCCGACACCACCTGCGTAGCCATTTGTTGACTTCCACGATTTGACGGTCTCTACCCAGGCCTTTTCCTTGCACAGGGAGGATGGACGAGAACACCACTTGTGCCTCAAACTCCTTTATACTTCTTTCCAGAGCCACATAGTCTGCAGTGATCCGCTCAAGGTCATTCTTGGCAGTATCATTGCCAGTGGGAAAAACACTGGTATTCCAAGATGGAGTCTGGCCCCAGGTGACCTGATCACATGACCCTGCAGTGGCCAAGCAGCCGTGAATCAGAAGTTTGTAGCCTCTTTAGGTGAGAGATTTGCTGCTCCGAACGCCTATTGTCAATATTCCTAACTTCAGATGCAAAACTGATACGTGCGTACCAATAGGATCATCGTATTCAGTAAATCACGGCCTTTCCAATAATACCTCACATGACCTGTCTCGCATAAGATACATTATCAAAGAATCATAGAATCTCAGGGTTGGAAGGGACCTCAGGAGGTATCTAGTCCTACCCCTTGCTCAAAGCAGGACCAATCCCCAGCTAATTCATCCCAGCCAGGGCTTTGTCAAGCCGGGCCTTAAAAACCTCTAAGGATGGAGATTCCACCACCTCCCTAGGGAACCCTATGCTTACGTCCTAATTATATAATAATATCTCGATGAAGAATATGGGGTGTAATGTCACAGACGGGCCCTTTAAGGTCATCACACAGCGGCATGAGGTGGCCTATGTGGTGGAACAGTCTGACCGGGCTCACAGCCACCAAGGGGACCAGGTCAACATGATGGAGCAGTATTTTGACAGGGAGAATTTGGTGCTGGCCGTGTGTGGCCAGGATCTATTCCCTGAGACAGGAACCAGCCCCTCGCTGGAATAAATTCCCCTCTCTGACCAGCTAACCCCTGCCCAGCAGGCTGAGATCAAAGAGGTGCTGGGTTCCTACCACCAGCTGTTCTCCAACCAGCCTGGGCTCACTAACCGGGCCGTCCACCAGGTGGAGATGGGAGCCCACCCTCCTGGAAGATGTTTCCTGTTCAGAGGCACGGGGAAAACAGCCCAGGACCTGGAGAGAGAGGTCAGAGACATGCTGGCTTTAGGGGTGATCCAGCCGTCTTCCAGCCCCTGGGCCTCTCCCATGGTGCTGGTTCTCAAGGACGGGTCAATCTGGTTCTGTGGGGACTATCAGAAGCTTAATGCCATCACCGTGTCCGATGCCTACCCCATGCCTAGGCCTGATGAGCTCCTAGACAAGCTATGGATCTCACCAAAGGCTACTGGCAAGTCAAGTGCCCGACTGAAATCTGCTCTTATCACCTGCCACCTTGTGGACCAGTTCCTCAAGGGGATGGGGAGTTTTGCCCTGGCGTATATTGATGATATCTGTGTTTTTAGCCAGACCTGGGAGGACCATGTGTCCCAGGTTAAACAGGGGCTGGGCCAGCTCCGGGATGCAGGTCTGACTATAAAAGCCGGGACGTGCAAGGTGGGGATGGCAGAGGTGTCATACCTGGGCCACAAGGTGGGAAGCGATCAGAGATTGGTCCGTTCCCCAGACTAAGAAATGGGTCCAGGTCTTTATTGGGATGGCGGGGCACTACCGGAGGTTTGTGCCCCACTTTAGCGCCATGGCCGCCCCCATCACTGAGCTGTGCGAGAAGGGGAAGCCAGACAAGCTGGTCTGGACCGGGCAGTGCCAGAGGGCTCTCTGTGCTCTGAAGGAGGATCTGGTCAGGGGCCCGGTGCTGGTAAACCCAGACTTTATGGTGTTCACCGACTCCTCAGACACAGGGCTGGGTGCGGTGCTGATGCAGGTTGACGAGAAGGGGGAGAGACACCCCACCATGTACCTGAGCAAGAAGTTGCTCCCCCAGGAGCAGAACTACCTTTGAGAAGGAACGCCTCTCCCTGGGGTGGGCTCTTAAAAAGCTGCAGCCGAATCCATTTGGGCAGCACTTCACTGTGTGCACGGACCACTCACCCTTGATGTGGCTACATCAGATGAAAGGGGCCAATGCCAAGCGCCTGAGGTGGACTCTGTCCTTCCCAGGATTACGACATGGAGGTGGTCCACATTAAGGAGAGTGCCAACGTGATAGCCAATGCTTTGTCCCGGAGAGGGGCGCCCTGAACTTCCCCAGGTCCCTGGCTATAGTGACCCTGCTCAGTTTGGTCTCGGAGTGGGGGAGAGATGTGACGAAGTGGGGTTTTAGTCACCATGTTATGTTGCATGTGAGTCTTATTGTCCTGTATTAAGACTGTGTGTGCCTCAGTTTCCCTCAGTTCTGCACCAATGCCTAGGTGGTGGGAATTGGGCGTGTAACTTTTGCTGAGGCCCTCAGGGGCAGGCGAGCTGCCAGATGTAACCTGAGACCCAGGAGGGGTGTGTGACTTGGTGACATTTTGCCTGGGAAGTGAGACAAAGACAAGGAGGAGGAGCAACGGGGTTGTCTGAGGTCAGGTCGCTGGAAGCCGGGCAGTCTGCTTGGGGAGACTGGAAGAGGGGGAGTCCAGGGCGTCTGGACCGGGATTCCCCCAAGATGGACTTGGCTGAAAGTCACAGATTTCTGTGCTAACAAGCTCTGCCATACGCTGTGTTCCTCTCTACTGATAAACCTTCTGTTTTACCGGCTGGCTGAGAGTCACGTCTGACTGCGGAGTTGGGGGGCAGGGTCCTCTGGCTTCCTCAGGAGCCCCGCCCGGGCGGACTCGCTGTGGGAAGCGCAGGTGAGGAAGGGGATGCTGGATGCTCCGAGGTCAGACCCAGGAAGGTGGAAGCTGTGGAAGCTTCTTGCCCTGGAGTCCATTGATAACTGGGGATTCGTATATAATCAATGTAATTAATACATAATCTAAAGATCAGGCAACAGAGGTGATCCCGGCAATTCCAGGCCGGTAAGCCTAATTTCAGTACCGGGCAAGCTGGTTGAAACTCTTGTAAAGAACCGAATGATCAGACGCAGAGATGAACACGATTAGTTGGGGAAGAGTCAACATGGTATTTGTAAAGGGAAATCACGCCTCGCCAATCTACTAGAATTCTTTGAGGGGGTCGACAAGCATGTGAACAAGGGGGATCCAGTGGATCTAGTGTACTTAGATTTTCAGAAAGCCTTTGACAAGGTCCCTCGCCAAAGGCTCTTACGCAAAGTAAGCTGCCACGGTGTTACAGACTCACCTCCCCCTCTGCATGCAAACCATTGGAAAACAAGGAAAAAACAAGAAAATCACCCACTTCGTCACACACGGGATAAGAGGGAAGGTCCTCTCATGGATCGGTAACCAGTTAAAAGACAGGAAACAAAGGGTAGAAATAAATGGACGGGTTTCAAAGCGGAGCGAGGTAACTAGTGGTGTCTGTACTGTGCCCGGTCCTATTGAACAGATTCATAAATGATCTGGAAAAAGGGGTAAACAGTGACGTGGCAACATTGGCAGATGATACAAAACTACTCAAGATAGTTAAGTCCAAAGCTGACTGCGAAGAGCTACAAAAGGATCTCTCAAAACTGGGTAACAAAAGAGCAGATAATATCCCAGCCCCCCATTGTAACCACCAGCCCCCACTCCCCTCCCAGAGCCAGGGAGAGAACCCAGGAGTCCTGGCTCCCAGCCCCCCCTGTTGTAACCACCAGCCCCCACTCCCCTCCCAGAGCCGGGGAGAGAACCTAGGAGTCCTGGCTCCCAGCCCCCCC